CAAGTACATGCAAGCAATGTCAAATGACACTCTGTTCTCTAACAGTTCTTGCGGCAGGCCTTCCGCTGATGCCTTTATTATGCTACGAGATCCTCTCAAGTCTGACATACCTTGGCCTGGGTTTATATTCGGACAGTCTATCGCTAGCGTTTGGTATTGGTGCGCTGATCAGGTTCAACTGATTTATTGCTAATGTTAACTACAGGCAACCCATGCTAAGGACTATCGATGATGCATGTAAACATGAGTAAAAAACATTTGTCTTACCTCATTATGTGGTTTTAGTTCTGAATGGAGGCTCAATTTGCCGTTTTTATTGCCTATCTATACTTATATCTCATATTTACATGCGTACCTAACAAGATGTACAGCATTCGTGAAGCAAATTGTATCGGGCTACCTGTGCTTTATCTTTGCGCGTTGCCATTTGGTGTAATGTCTAGTTCATTATAATATTAGGTAATAGTACAGCGCGCATTGGCAGCCAAGAGTTTATCCCATGCACAAGGTGGCTGCATATTTGCTGGTTATATCAAGATTCTTCCCCTATTCACCCTAGTCATGCCGGGAATGATCAGCCGAATATTATCGCCTGGTAAGTGTATGACGTCACGGTATAGAAACTACCAGGCGTTCCTTGTGATATGCTGAGTCTTTTGTAAACTAGTGTATTTTATTGAATCGTGAAGCCGTAATTCACACAGTGAACTCTTCTAWTACCATTACTTTCCATTTGACTAATAAGTACGTGCTTTTGAAATGAAATAACCTGAAATAAGTATTATATTATAGCTATCATAGTACGTGTTCTCTGATTGGTCAAATGTTATTGTTTATTTCACCGGTAAACGCACGAATGCGAAAATGCGCCTATAATATAAAAGAAATAAACAACATATTTTCGTACGAAAATGTGTTGTTTATTGCTTAAACAATTTATGATAATGCGATGATGATGATAAACAGAATTTGATTCCTGCGTTCAATCGGCTGCGCTCGGTGGTGGATGCATGGTAATGGTTGTATTTATGAAAATAATGATATTTGTTGTTGATGATGATGATGATAATATTCGTATAATAACATCCCTCTTTCTATTATTTGAATTGTAGATCGTGTGGCCTGTAGCGTACCAGAGAAGTGTAAAGAGATATGTGGTAGTGAAGTTGGCTGCACAAATATTGCTTTCCCAGAACTGGTCTTAAAACTCATGCCAACAGGTTCTGTAACATTCTCGTACCCAGRTCCTTCTCAGTTTCCCAACGACRAGTCGAAGTCTCTGGTTGGAGACAAATGAGTCTTTGTTTTGATTGATTAAAAAATTACCACTGTGCCATCAGTATGCATATAATGTACGACCAGATTCTGGATCTTCCGGTATCGTCTCCAACCAGAGCCTTCGATTTTCCGTTAGGACTGAGAAGGATCTGAGCTGGGTACGAGAATGGACCAGTAAATCGTTGATTTTAAAGCGTTATTGTTGTCATTTCCATTTTCGCGTGAAACAAACAWTAAGTGTATAATATTACTTGTTTATTAATGTAACTTGTTTGTCATTGACTGGCGATCATTGTTACTGAGAAACATCTCAACGTATTTAGCGATGTTATAGTTCCAAATTCGTTGATAAATTCATGAATTGAGGAACGCCATAAAATACGTATATTATGGGATTAGACTTTCAATAAGTAGTCTCGATATAGTCTTTCTGATTGTGTCTAACCTGATCTGTGCCTTGTTCTAGGACTTCGAGGTCTGATGATGGCAGTCATGATGGCTGCACTAATGAGTGATTTGACGTCCATCTTTAACAGCGCCAGCACACTCTTCACTATTGACGTCTATGCAACMATAAGAAAGAGAGCAACAAATAGAGAGCTYATGATTGTTGGAAGGTGTATTTTCTTGCATTTCTTTATTCATACATCACTTCCATTCACTGTTTTCTACTTCTCTGAGAGTCATCTTGACCCTCTGTCTATAGGTGGATCTTTGATTTCTTTGACTTTGATTTGTTGTGCAGTGGCAAAAAGCCCTAATGAGTCTGTGCATTCCCTCGAAAATTGCTCGAAAATAGAGGCTCAGTTGTGCCATTTTCTCCTAGTTAGTGATGTTAGCTTTCAAAGTGTTATGTGGCAAAGCGCTAAAATGAGACAATACATTTTCTCGTTGTCTATAATACTTTGTATACACGCCTCAATTTTAGATTAATACAAGGCATTGGGAAAACTGACACAAAAGAATAATGTGAATGTTTAACTAAATAAATATGGTTTATTTTGTTGTTGCAGACTGATGATCGCGGTCATGACTGGGATTGGTATTCTGTGGATTCCAGTAGTCCAAAACGTCCAAGGAGGTCAGCTTTTTCTATACATTCAACAAGTTCAATTGTACTTCTGTCCACCAATAGCCAGTGTCTATCTTCTCGCAATATTATGGAGTAAAGTCACAGAAAAGGTTTGTTGCAAATTATATTGCTATCACGTACTTGTTTCGGAGACGCGATCCCCGGCACTGTACTTTTTGTATTGCGAGGAGTGTGTGGTTCATAAACACTCTAGCCTGAGCGTACTACACTTACACAGGGGTATGCCCCTTCCGCCCCTTCCGCACCTTCCGCCCCTTCCTTGGCAGACAAAGTCTCTGAAAGATGAGTCTTAATTTGTCAAATCAACTGAGAATATAACAAAATAACAAAAGTTATATCCAAAAACAATACCAATCTAAGTTTGCTGTCACCCGCCTTCTTCAGTCTTGAAACACCAAATGAAAAAATAGCTAGAATCTACCAATTATAAACGACCCTGTTTTACTGCAGCTAAATTTGCGCGTTTTTCTTTCTCTTCATTTCTACCCTTCCGTCTGTCCGATTATCATAATTTATTTCGTAAATTACCTGATTAGTGTTCTAGCATAACAATGGAATTACCATAATTTCGAAATAAATCTTTCTAACAACCAGGGAGTATTCTGGGGCATGATGGTTGGTTTTATGATTGGTGCCGTACGCATGGTGTTGGATTTTAGTTACCAATCCCCTCGCTGTGGACAGACAGACCAACSGCCAAGCATAATCTCCAATGTTCATTACATGTACTTTGCTATGATCTTGTTTTGGCTGACAACCATAATAGTTGTTGTCATAAGTTGCTTCACTGAACCACCACCCAAAGAAAATGTAAGTACAGTGTAGCGTTCCGTGCGAGGATTGTCTTTCTTGTAGTTGAGCGTAGTATTTTTGGAACTTCGTCCGTCACGTGACGTAGAAGGACGATGTCATGGCGCGTAGTAAGTCCAGAAGTGATGAGTAGCTGTACTATCAACCTTTATTTATAGTGAGTGAAGTTGTCCTTCAGTAGCATCGTGTTGTGCAATATATTTATAGTCTTTAGATTAAACATTGTCGCTGGACTGTCTGCACATGTCTCTCACCCTTATAAGCGACTACACCGAAAGATTATCAACCAGTCATTCCCAGGACCTTAATGACCTCACACAAAAGGGATAAGGCACTTGAATGACGTTAGTTGGGGGAGTATGGTTAAACTATGGCCCTCACTTTAATGACTAACAGCTTTGTTGCCGATGCTGCTCTTTTCCTTAGATATCAAGATTAACGTGGTGGACATGTAGAGATACTTCCGACTCTTCTAGAGATGAAATAGATTTAACAAAAATTATAACGGCTAAAACCGACACGGAATTGAGAAAACATGAACAATCACCAGATGATGTCACCGATGTAGGTAGGTGGTGGCACGACTGGTATGCGGTCACTTTCCGATGTCGACTTTAAAGCAATATATATATATACCAATCACAGTAGAAAACCCTGTACAAAAACCGATAACCATTCGCAGCCGAAAACGACTAAAATGAGTTTGCAAAAACTTTTCCGTGCGTAGTGGTTTTAAAAGATTAAAAGAGACGCATACAACTCAAATATAGGGCAGGTTCTTCTATTCGGAGCTTTAATTTACTGTGTTCAAAAATGAACTTTTCTGTTGGAAAATATGATAGTATTTCGGCGTTTTTAAGTAACCTATATTATCTTTCTTGTCAACTCATATTGTATCGTAATAAGGTACAACCTTTTGGAAAGGTTTTTGGTACCCGTTTACTACCAAGAACAATTCGCCGAGACCCGATTCTCTAGTAATTGAAAATCACTTGAATCTAATGTTTTTCTAGGGCGTTCACCATCTCGTGTGAAGAGAGTTTTCAGCTGGTTTTGTGGCTACGAGATAAACCAAGAAGAACCGATGAAAGCCGAAATGGAGTTTCAGAGAAGAATGGCTATCATCACTTCATTGAAACAAGATCCAAAAGCAAAAATCTTCCTCAATTTCAACCTTGTTTTTATATCTTGTGTTTGCGTTGCTATGTTTGCGTACTTTTCCAGCTGAAGATAGGACTTTTATCAAACCAACAGTTGGTTTTTAACACGAAGATTGCGAAGCAATCGAAGAGTTATTGGAGGGGGACGAATCTGTCACTCACTAAGTCAGCCACTCACTCACTTTCCTGTAAACTTGAGCCCGCGTTACTTGCATTCAGAATAGTCTCCTTCACGGTTACCTGCGCCATCTTGAAAGGTAGCCGTGCCTTTGCATCGAAGCGAGACAACCGTTGAGCGTGCAATGATAGAAACCTTCTTTCACACCTACAGACAATTATTCCCGGGTATCTATCATTGCACGCTCAACGGTTGTCTCGCTTCGATGCAAAGGCACGGCTACCTTTCAAGATGGCGAAGGTAACCGTGAAGGAGACTATTATTTTTCCGTATTCGTCCACACAATCCATCTTCGAGTTGTGTTGCCATTGGCAGCTTGATTTAATCTAGGACAGTAAAAACACACTTCCATCTTGCTTTTTTCGCTTACTCAAGCGGAGCGCAATGCATCAAGGGAAAGACAAAGGGTTAATTCGGTTCCAGAGTTATTATTCAACAACTTTCGAGTGAAGTATACTTAAAAAAACTCATGTACACAAATAAGTAAAACCCTTTATGAAATGGTTTCATATTGTTTTAAAAGACATTCATACTTGATTAGCAAATAGTCGAATAAGCATTGCTTCATTAAGAATATATATAAATGTAAAAAGTATGTGTGTATGTGATTCAATTAATAATAGAAACTGAATTAAGGCGTTATGACCGCCGAATACTGACACTCAATTGAATCAAAGTTGTCGGGTTCAAAATCATATATAGATGCTGTAACCAAATACCTCGCGGAGAACGGTGTTCTAATTTCTCGACACCAGTTCTTCACGGTCATGATTATCAACACAGGGAGACCAAGAAGAGAAAAAGGTCCTTTCAACTGCATTATCCTGCGAAGGAGGTTAGAAAGCGAAATGGCACATGGAAAGCACATTTGTTCTGCAGCTGACATGTAACAATGGCGATATAAAGGATAAGTCATATTCTTGTTCCTAGCTTCTGGGATCTACGATTTTGAGCCCGACGCCCATTCGATTGAGTGTATTTGTCGAGTTGCATGCTCCGGAATACTCAATTTTTGCGTATAATTGTTCTCAAGTCACACCCATTAGCATCCCTCCCATCAAATGAAAAACAAAAATTGAGCAAGCACTTAACAGATCGCCTTTGCAAATTTGAGAAATTAAGAGGCTGGTAGTGTGACACTTATACGACGCACTAGACCTTGTGGAAACACCTCTGAATAAAGTGTATCCATGTAGGATCTATGACGTATATTACTGGTCATATTGAGTCGTTTTACAGAATGTCACGCGACCGATACGATTATCGGGAGACCACGCGTTAGATATGCCTTTACAGAATCTTTGTCCTCTTTGCATGGAGCTTCCAATCGTACCATAAAAGATCACACATTTAACCGACCATTCCAGAGCACGGAATTACAGGTATTACAGGTTTTCAACCTGTTTTATTCGAGTTTCTGCCACTAGGCAGTAGCATTGTGGACAGGTTTGAAGTTCGTCGTGTCTTCCAGTTTCGAGACATTTAACGAATCTTGCCGAGTTGAATTCAATGATGAAATGTCACGTGGTAGCATTGCTGCAAGAATTAGAGATAAACAGTCTGCGACTTGGTGATTGGGTGCACAGGACAGGGCAGGAGTGTGACCATCTTCGTCCTCAGCAAATACGTTAGCGCCACGTGTAAGTAGTTCTTGTACAACAGGTACCATCCCGTTGGCTGCGGCTAAGTGAAGTGCACTAGAACGTACAACAGCATACAGCAATGTCAGTTAATAACCTATCATGGTAGTTAATACAACTATCTTAAATATGTGAGCTCAAATTTAACTAGTGAGATTTTGTTTTAGGTCAGGTCAGGTCATATTAATAAAAAATACCGAGCTCTGAAAAAGTGCTTTTGAGACTCCTTCCTCAAAACCGAACGAGCTCCGAACAGAAACCCGGAAACTCATCGGTGAACTTTCGCTTGTTCGGTATTGAGGAAGGAGTCTCGAAAGCAGTGAAGTTTTGATTGACGGGTGAAAGGGGTCGGAGTTCACACGTTTACAGAAATGTATATGCAGTAAATCGAGTCCAATAAAAATGAAGATATAGACAACAATCAAACAAAACGAAACGAAACAAAAAAAAAAAAAACACAAAAAAAGGAGAAAGCACAGACAAGGGAAAACAAACGAATTCAAGATATTCACGAAGGTACATTCAATGTTTAAAATACTGCTGGATAAAAAAGAAAAGATGATGGAATGAATAAAAAAAGAAGACATCAAAGCAGATATAATAGATAAAATAGCAAATGTAGCATTATTGCATTATTGCAATCAGTGTGGAGCATAAACACTAAATCCGCGAAAACCAACATCGCCAATAATTAGTGTTACTAGTATTTATCGTCAGGCTACTTATCAGTCAACTACACTATGGTTATTTTACTATTGATCGTTTTCAACCATTCCCATGAAATTCAAAAGAAAAAAGACCGGCGGCCATGTTGGAGAAATGAATAATAGATACTAATGAGAAATCCTTTGTTGAAGTTCCTTCAAGATGGTTGCTGTGACGTATAGTAAAAACGAAGAAAAAGAAGGGAAAAGACGAAAGAAATAATAACAGTTTGACTAGAATACTAGTAACCAAATCTATGAAGTGTTGTTAGGCGGATATAGTGTGTATGCTTGGTTTCTTACGTTTTGAATGAATTATTTCCTATATTAATAGCGCTGTCAGGCATCTTATCTAATATTGTCAAAGCACACGATACATGGCCCTGGAATAGAGAAATCAACGTTACCAACACAGTGTCAACACGGTGCGGCGATATTGTGTGCAAAGATACTATAGCATGCTTAGTTTTAGCTGCAAAGCAATCAATCGCGAAGCACATGATCATGACGACCTAATGAACTTTCTAGAAATAAATGAATAAAAGAGTAAATAAAAGAATAAAAGAATAAAAGAATAAATAAATAAATAAATAAATAAATAAGCAAGTAAATAAATAAATAAATAAATAAATAAATAAATAAATAAATAAATAAATACAGCTGTTTGCAATAATTCTGACCCCCTCTGCCATATTTCATATATATCAAACTAACCTTTAATATTATGGGATGACGGATATATTTTTTGAGTTGAGCAGAATGAGTACTTTCTCAAAAAAATATCATCATTGGTATCCCATAATTTCTAAGGCTACTTTGATATATATGAATATTAGTGTAGGGGGGTCAGAATTATTGCAAACAGCTGTAAATAAATAAATAAATAAATAAATAAGTAAGTAAATCAATTAATAAATCAATCAATCAAATCAATTAAATAAACAAATGTATACATAAATAAAGAAAAAAAGAAATAGTGTACCTGTATACATGATAAATGAAGTGATGTGTTGCTTTCTGTATCCATTATTGTTGTGTCTGCATTGCCATCTCCAACCAGCAAGTCTACAATTACCATAACAATGCAATAAACTTTGGCATTCGATTTTCAAGGACTATTCTTTTCAAATCTCGTTTGATGCTTCTGTCTGTGATTTCCGAAAACGCACTGACTTATGTCAATGAAAAAGGTAAAAAAAAACATGTAGACAGTAACAGATTCAAGGCGTATTCAAGGAGGTTTGTTCTCTTCCTAATTTTCGAGGAATTTTCAAGTTAGACCTTGAAAAACAGTTTTCAATTCCAGGGCTTTTCAATGATTTCAAGGAGTAGCACAAGGACTGTAAGATTAACATAGACATTCTTTACCTACTGCTCCAGAGTGTCCATTTTCTGCTGCTACCATGAGAGCGGTTTTACCATTACAATCAATACTGTTTGCGTCTCCTCCTCTTGACAGCAGCAACTGAAGACATTCTACTTGGTCGTTGTATGCAGCCGCGTGCATTGGCGTCCTGAGAATAATAGCAATACATAAATATAATACATGTGATAATAGATGGAGTACAAACATTAAATGTGTGCAACACTTTCCACTATTTACTACAAAATAGTGTTAATTAAACAATAGAAAACAATAGAATTAGCATAATTTAGCAGTATTTAGAGGTTTTTATGTTGCACAGTTTTAATTTTTTTAACACACTAAGATGAATTCTAGGGCGCTGATTGTCTGATTAGAGTGTGTCAATAATAGGACCTGCACACTTTGCTGAAACCACCACGTCTTGCGTGCTATCATTTGAAAGAAAAAATAATTTTCGCTAATTTTTAAACTAAAAACGTGTCAACAACAACAAAAATTGCACACTTTTTTTGTCTCGCTGCGCTCGTGGGTCCACTTGAGTTTTGAAGATTTTATGACCTCAAGAGGACATACAAACTCGGCAAACCCTTGCGCAATATAATAAACATGTCCTCTATTGCATTTTATGGAACTGAGTGATGAAAAAATCGTGGTACAGGCAAGACGCAGTTAAGGGGTCTTGCCTTACAAGAAGCGTTGTTATAGAAACATTGAATGGCGAGAAGATCATGACAATAATATTATATACCTATACAAAATGTTTGTGATCGTCAGAATAAAAGATTGATAGAAATAATAAATCATTGGAAAGGTCGAAGAGCAAACATGAAAAGGAGGGTAGGGATTGACAGACGGAAGAAAATACCAAACAAAAGTAAATATTGAAAGTAAATGGGATATCATACCTCTTTTTACTATCTGGTAAATTGACAATATCATCTCCTAAAGTATCTAGTAGTAATTCTGCACAAGATTCATTATCGTTGATTCTATAAATGGCAGCAGATCGTTAGACACACACTAACTCACTATAGACACACTAAACTGGGTACTTACACAGCACAGTGTAATGGTGTGAATGAATTGCCTTCTAACGCTTGTGATTTATCACTCTAAAAACAAACGAAATCATGGTCAATATCATGCATCATGAAGAAAGTCTAATGAGGGTAAACTGATATGTGATCACTTTGCATTATAAACTACTAGACAGTGCTAGCTAAGCAATAGAATGCGATAATAATCGCTTTAGATTGATATCATTTCAGTGCGACGATCATTATTCCTTTCACATTTATTCACCGCAGTTCGTACCATCATTTCAGCATTTATTTCTAAGTACGGATGGGTTCACCCAATGAAACGACCGCTCGCCAACATAGTTGGCTTCAAAGCTCAGTTGGTAGATCACTGCACCGGTATCGCAGAGGTCATGGGTTCGATTCCCATTGAACCCCGAACTTTTTTCACAGCAACGATCATTTTTCCTTACACACAATAGCATAGCCTAGCCTAGCAGTATAATGTGGTATGTATGTTGCATACTTTTAGTGTTTGTAGTCTAATAAAAGTAAAAAATGAAAGCAAACAAAATCAAGAAAACACACCTCTAAGAGAAGGTCAACACAAGCATCATGTTCTGAAATAAAAAAAAGTAACCACAATTCAATGGATAATGTAATAAATTACATCAAACACAGTTCTAATTACCATTAAAACAAGCCCAGTGTAAAGGTGAAAAACCTTGATCATCAAGCACAGCACTACTCCCAGCTACTTGGATTAAATTGCCTAAAATTCCTACATGACCACAAGCTGCAGCAAAGTGCAGAGGAGTTCGACCAGAACAGTCCCTGTAAGAAAGTAGGATTCTAAGAAATGCAAAGATTGCGCAAAAGATTTATATTATAACGTTCAGAGGATGTGCAGAGGAGTTCTACCAGAACAGTCCTTGTAAGAACGATATATATCACGCACAGGATTTAATAATAATTATAATAACTTAAAAATTGCATAGGAATTTTACCAGAACAGTCCACGTAAAAACAAAGTTGAATTCTAAGAAATGTGCTTACGCGCATGATTTAATGACATGAATACCTGCACACAACATCAGCATCTTTGAGTAGTAGTGCTTCTGCACATTCATCATGCCCATTAGCAGCCTGTGCAAGATAGAAAACACCACAAATCAATCAAATCTTTTACAAAAACACAGGCCATTTGCAAGATGGTGTAACTTTACTACAACCACCACAAAGCCTTGCGAATTTTCATTGTTAATTTTGCATCAAAACAGAATCTCACTCGAACCATTGAGATTTCACACAACGTGACTTCTGATCCTCTCATTATAATCTATGTCCCTTTAATGGTTTGAAATGGTATACTATATAACTTATAAACTAAGGTATTACAGTACGATAGCCACCATACATGTATGGTCTATTTTCCAGCAGTTCTTTTCTGCAAAGGCTTACTTACAGCTCTATGCAAAGCACTTCTTTGATTTTCATCTACAGCTAAGACACTAGCTCCTTCACTTAGTAGTAGAGCTGCACAATCAGCATATCCGTTACCTACAGTTGCCATTAGAGGGGTTCTACAGAATGATACAGCAAATATTTGAAATGAAACTTATCATCAACATTATTATATCAAACAAACCACTTTACAAAGGTGTAGCCCTTCACCATTTTGTAAGATCTTATTAAATTTGTTTAATAGCTATTTGTTGAATAAAAAAACAATAGAATTTAAGAATGAGGAAACAATGAGCATTGTTTAATTCCTMCAATCACAAGAAACCTTACAAACTCGTGAAGGATAATTACTATGCCCTGCTGCACTGTCAATACATGCAATATTATCAACAGGCTTTGGAAAATTCCAAATAAGCTCACTTATTTATGAGTTCTTCTCTACAATTTTTGTTTGTTTATAAAGAGTTGATACTTAGACATTACCTTCCATGGTCATCCACACAATCAATGCCATTTTCATCTTCAAGATTCTGCAGCAATAGTCTTACACAATCAGTGTGTCCATTATAAGCTGAAAAAAATAGACAATTCATCACAGGCTCAGTCTTTAAACTCTGTGTAAGGAATAATGCTCATCGCAGTGAAATTATAAAATCTTAGTGATTATTAAATGGACTGCCCAAAAACATTTTGGGCTTCAATTATTCACAGCAGTTTGTACCATCATTTCACCATGTCTTTCTAAGTATAGATTGGTTCACCCAATGAACCAGTTGGTATAGCACTGCATCACATCACAGAGGTCATGGATTTGATTCCCTTTTATTAATAATGGCAAAGATTATTTTATTTCACTGCAACAATCATTATTCCTAACACATTTATTCAATGCAGCCTGTACCATCATTTCATCTTTAAACACTATGTCAGTTGGACAAAAAATGCATGCAGTAAATCCATAAGCATTTGATGAAAATCGTTTACATGATGGTGAATGGAATTACCTGCAGAATGTAATGGTGTTCTTTTGGAAATATCATCATAAACAAGAACTTGCGCATTGTGATCAAGAAGGCTTTCTACACAATTCCTGAAATTACACCATATAATTAGTGTAAAAAAAGTTAGATTTAAGTACTTTGAATTACATTAGCTAACACTTACACATGACCTTGAAATGAAGCCAAGTCCAGAGGAGTGCGGCCTGTGTTTTAAAATAATAAAAAAATGCATTGTGGTCTAGATTCGATACAAACACAGTTTGTTCATGCTGCCAAATATGGCATTGATTGTACTAAAGCTAAACCACAATGCACTATGATTTGTATTTTTAGAAAAGTCTATGTATTTGCAAAAAAAAAATCCTCAAAGGAAAACCACTGACCTTTAGAATCTCTAAATTCAACATTCATTCCTATATTTTTACAGCTTTCTAGAAGTACAGACAGTGCTTGTGCATGGCCATGGTATGCCTGAGAATACACAGGGATCATAATAAGAACTGGCAAACATTTCCAATAATCCAAACAACAGTCAACTTACCGCCAAGTGAAAAGGTGTCATTGAAGGCGAATTAGAATGTTGTGTCAATAAATCTGCTGAGGCTATATCTAATAACTGAAATAATAATAATAATAATATATCTAATAACTGAAATATATAGGAAATGGTTTTGTTATGATAAAGTTTTCAATAAAATTATCTATGAATGTCAATGGTTAAGAGTAACAAATGCTTGGTGTTTTAGCTACATGTATCGTCAATCAAAGCTTCACCTTAATATAACTTAATAACCAAGTTGTCTTAAAGAGTAATACCACAAAACAAAATGAACTTTGAGCATGAATGCATTTGGTTGTGATAATAGTCATTAAAGTCAAGTTTGTAGTCAGGAGTGAAATACTAAAAATAATGACATTTAGTGTTCACCATTTGAAATTATCATATTTTACATTTATAAAGAAATGAAAAATTTATCAGATAACTACATTTTGTTGTATCATTTTGGTACATGCTGTCTCACTTGTACTTACCATTTCTATAGCAAGTTTATGTCCATGTACAGCTGCGTAATGGACAGCACTAAATCCTTGTTTATCTCTTTTGTTAGCATTGGCTCTGTTTCTTAATAGATGTTCTACACATCTAAACAACAACAACAAAAAACTGCACTTAGTATATTCCTTTATTTGATCACAAGAATACAATCTTCAATAATCTTGTGAATACCTTTTCTCAGAGGAAAAACAATTTTTTGAGTGGGAGTATTTGTTGTTTGACCTCTAAAAGGGAAATTGCTGCAGATTGTGAAGATAACAGTCTTTGGCACCAAGGTGAAAAATCCACTGACTTTGCAGTTGCTTTTGTCAACTTTTGGATTTCCTCCTCAAAATATTGGCATAACCCCGAAGTATGCATTGATGGCAAAAATATATATTGCTTGTCTTTCGTCACAATATTACAAAGTGATCCCATGAGATCAAGCACACATATGCACATCAGTACTATTACTTCGTGTGTCAAAGAAGTTGCATGTTTTCACTAGAAGACTCAAAATTTAACTCTTATAACTAGATAAAGGAACATAATGTCCAGTGTTTGAAAAGAAGCAATGACTGACCAATTGGAACCAACCCAATTGGAAAATAATGTCTTACTTTGCATCATAGTCAGAAGCAGAAGCATAGTGAAGTGGAGAACAACCTCTGGTATCGGATTTGTTGACAGGTGACCCACTAGTTACCAGTGAAACTACACAATGGTAGTTGGTATGACCAGAGGCATAATGAAGAGGTGTTCTACAAAAAAACACAAAATACTACTTAATGGCAGGTTCTTAGAAGACAAGGTTCCAAAGAAATTCCTGGTGAGCTTACCTTCCTAGCTTATCAATGGCATTAAAGTCAGCACCATGGCTAACAAGGAGTTCTAAACATTCTACATTCCTGTAAGATAAAGAAGGATTTATATTGGCCTATACCATTCCATAATGTAATAATATGGTCAACTTGCTTGGTCATGACATTATGTACATGAATACTAACCCACTGCAGGCAGCACAATGCAAACTTGTTCTGTCGTTAATATCTCTAGAATTTATATCAACACCTGAAAACACAAAATATATTCAATGTAAAATATAATTAGTGGCACAACAATGTATTCATTGTTTTACATAATGCATTATGTGATATTAGTTAACACTCCAACTTCTATATTGAATAGCAAGAATAGAGTGCATTTGAACCATTACTGACTCATTAAATTTTTCTTGTTTCTGTCAGTGTCATACTCAACAATAAAACCAAATACAATCATTCAACAATAGCATTACCATAAAAAAGTAACTTTTTACAACAGTCTGTGTGACCACCTAGACTTGATAAATGAAGGGGTTGCATGCCCTGGGCTCCCTGTCTACAAAACGAATAAGTACACAGTTAACAAATTGTAAAGTCTCCTTCATGGTTCCCTGGGCAATCTTGGCTGCACCAAAGCAAGATAATCATTGAGCTTGCAATCATTTTACTACATTTATGATGATAGCACCATTCAAAAACTTAGTAAAAAACTAAAGAAACAAGACACCATATGAAGCTACCTAACACCATAGCAGTCTTAGGATTTTTCTTGATAATCTAAGTACAAAGATGTAGGTTTTTGTGAACTTACTTGCAGGGGTCAGCACCACTAGCTAATAACACACTAAGGAGAAGTTCTTGACCATATTGAGCAGCGATATGCAATGGTGTACTACCTTGATAGTCTGCTGAATCGACATATGCTCCTGCAAGTTATAACAACAACAATATAAAATGTTTAAAAATATATAAAGATTGAAGTAAAATCAAAAGACAAAAACAACAAAACAACAAATTACAATCAACAGAAAAACAAGAAGCAATAATAACAACCAACGTTCTCACCATGTTGTAAGAGTGTTTGTGCTCTAGAACAGCGACCATATAAAGCAGCAAAAACTAAAGGCGTTCGTCCTTTTTTATCCTAAAATAATCAAACGTTGTCATTGATGGAAAAGCTCAAAAGCAAGAACTATTGATTTAATATTGCAAATCATAATGCTGCAAATCCACAATTACCTGTAAGTTAGGGCTTGCACCATCATTGAGTAGAAGTTCTAAACATACATCTCCCTGACCTGAGGCAGCAGCAAAGTGAAGAGGAGTCTAAAATCCATAACACAATCATTAGCCCACAGCTTACAAAAAAATCTTCACAAATCGGTATACATGTTTAGTTAAAGTGAGCATACTTAATTTGTAAAACAAATGCATGTAGTACTAATTACTACTGAATATTGTTGATTATTGGTAGACAATTGAGTGAAGTAAAAATAAACCATGTGATCAGAAATAGATATTGCACTAATACACCTTAGTACGCTCTAATTGGATTTTTTCGATTGGGCCAATTTGTCAATACTAGTAGTCAAATTTTGTTTCACAGGTTCAATAACCTCACTCGAGGAAACAAAGGGATAACCATAATTAAGTACTATTTTGTACATTGTATTTAAGTTTTGCAAATTTTAATTTAATTTTAATTCTTAAAAGACCTAATGTTGTCAATAACTTTACTAAAGTAAAAGAACCTACCATGCCCTTTAAATTAGAAGCATTTATTGATGCGCCAAAGCTTATAAGTTCACTGATGACAATGTCTTGTCCATTCAAGCATGCCACATGCAATGGAGTATTTCCTTGGATGGTCTGTGCATCAACCTAAAACATAATTGTACAATACTTAAAATATTCTCACTTYAGGTATAAACTTCATGTAGGGGTACTCACATCAGCTCCATCTTCTAATAGTTTTCTAAGTGTTGTGAGTTGTCCGCCAGCAGCTGCTGCATGGAGAGGAGTGTATTGCTACAAATAAAACAACATGAAATCGAACTTTTAAATTATGAAGTAAAACCATAGATTCTTTGGATTTAAATATCATAGTAATTACAATCATAATTATATTTCAACAACAAATTTTCCTCTTCTTTCACTAGTTGAGAGTGGAGCATGTAATGCGATAACGCCCATCATGGTGGGGTAATGTTTAAGCAATAGATCCAGGTTGAATCAAGGGCATTATGCTGCAATACTTGAAACTGGATATTCCAGAAAACAAATAATCGCCCAAGAATGAAGTTTGAGGGTGACTATGAAGTTTTCAGGAAAACCATCTTCCAAGTGCAACTGTCACAGCATAATACTGTACATGTACCTGAGATTTCAACTGCTCGATTGTTTATATTATTCTAACAACAAAGTTTTCTGAAGGTGTTGGCTCTATGGCACTACTGTATCACATGGTCTACTTCCACCAATGAGAGCAGAGGAAAATTTCTCACTGAATGCTGAAGTGCCCACCGCGGAGGGCTGCATATACATGTACATGTGATGATCCGTTCAGAAATTTTGTTATTGAATAATAAAAACATTTGAGAAGCTTGTGTACTATGCTGTGGTAACTGTGATAGGTTTGATCTCAATACTGAGATTCTTAGTACAATTACTTACTTTCTTATCAGCACAATTTATACTYGAGTTGGCTTTAATAAGAAGATCTAAACATTCTGTGCGCCCTGCAAAGAAAAAGGTCTATGTTACCCATCTTATAATCATTTCAACAGTTCTACTTTGAAAGTCATGAAACAAAATGAAGAAAGTCCAAGGATGACCTGGAATGAGATCAAGAGACAGGTCGAAGGGCAGGGACCAGGGGTTTAAAGTAAATAATTATTGAAAGTATGTTTTGGAATATTGTAAAGCAAATTGTCAATTTACCCATATAGGCAGCCCAGTGAATAGGTCTTCTATCCTTCTTGTCCATGGCACCTACATGTGCCCCTTTGCTTATTAGCAGATTAATCATCTAGAATTTCAATAGATAAATGATTACCCTTTGAACTAGTAACCAAGACGCAATTGTATGGTTTACTTTTTTCTCATGGTTAAACATCACAGACATGAGTAATACCTGTATGTTGAGTAAATAATTGTGTACCCAGATGTACCTAATGTACATAATACGTAAAGAGTATTGCAGGCACATATGAAATCTTTATGTCTGAATACTGAGCCTCTATTTCCTTCTTTTTAATAATTAGCATCAGAAATGAGTGACAACTACATCCACAAATAAGACTTGGCTGGGCTAGTCCCAGGTTTACACAGATATCCCAATAAGTCTTTCTAAGGAATGCTAACAGCCTACCTCTATATGACCATTAAAAGCACTATGATGCAGACTTGTTCTTCCTGCTCTGTCTGTGACGTTCACATTAGCAAGGTGGGGAATTAAAGCTTCTGTAATGCACAATGATAATAAAAAGATTGTTTATTAAAATTTAAATCTTTCTTGGTGGAGCATCGGAAAGGAGTTCAGTCTTGAAGCAAAATGAGTTAAGTTTGATCCCAGTATTACCTGCACAGCGTACATGATTATTTGCAGCTGCAATATGCAGTGGTGTTTGCCAGTTCTTATCTCTTGCATTTACATCTGCAGAGTGTCTAATCAAAGTCTTGACACAATCCTTTATTGAGAAAAAAAAAGACATTCAATTGATTTATTATCAAATCCAATACATGCTACTTACATTTATAAATATGTTGCAATTATGCACTGGTGAGTAGGATTTATATTTATTTATACAACTTTTCAGTAAAATCGAACGTTTTGATTGGTTGGCTTTCGTGTGTTATCAAAGTATAGATACACGGATTACATCAAAACTAATTGTTTGTTGATAGAACTTTGTGTAAATGACTAGTTATCTGTTTTGTCTACAAATGGAACATCCAACTATACTTACTGCATTGCCAGATGCACATGCTCTATGCAATGGAGTGAGCCATTTGCTGTCTTTGGTATTAATTCTTGCTCCTATAAAAAAAACCAAGGACATCAATAAAATTCATTGAAAATAGAACACCTTATAATGGAATCTGTAGAGGTTTTGCACCATTTCATCATTTTATAGTACATGTAAGTGTATCTGGACTGTTCAAGAACTTCAAAAGTTTGCTTACCATTGGATATGAGAACATTTATACATTCTCCTTCACCACAATGAGCAGCAGCATGTAATGCGGTTCTTCTTTCAATGTCCTGTTATAAATCAATCCATAACTCAACCCATATATACAACAAACACATAGAAAAATTGACTGCTGAACATCGACATGTAAAAGTGTGTGAACTCCAAGACTGAAATGGATTGTAGATGGTTTTATTGTTGTTCAAAAAGGAGTTTTCATGGTTTCTGAGTGACTTTATCGGCTCCAAACAGGTAAGAATGACACAGAAAGTAACTAAGTTTACAATTGTCATATATTATAATACAGTATAGTCAACATTTTTACAGATATTTTTCGAGTCTTTACATTAAAAGTGCGTCTTGTCTTGATTTTTAGCTTAGACTTTTACAATAAAGTTGTCAGGAAAAAAAACAWGGAGTTTAATAGAACAATGCACCTGAATATCTAAATGATGCACAAACAATACTGACAATAATAGATTCTACACTCCATTATTACAAAATATGTACATAAAGAGAGGTTCTTTATATTTGTTTGGGAATTAGCAAGTAAACATAGTTAAAAATAACGAATTGTAGTGATATAATAATTCGTCTTCTAAATATTTTTACACTTCATTACACCTATGGTGTATGCAGACAAACATATATACAAACACTGGTTTCAATTGTTATTAAATTTCTAGGAAACTAGGAACTGCTTTTATTTACATGATAATATCGTATGTACAAAAACTGATTTATTATCAATCTACAAGTATAAATATTCAAATTCAAAATTAGCGCAACAACATAGATCCTTCTTCAAGAAACATCAAATAATTATTACTAGTGGGATGCAATGAGTATCATAGACTATGTTTTGATAGAATCTAATTTACATGTAAACAAGAAAAAGATAAGATTTATTTGCTGATGAGATTAGATTAAGATGAAATAAAATCTCAAATTACAAGCAAGCAATTTCTACCAATTTACGGCAACAATCCTTGAAAAAATCAAATTCAAAACACAACACACACTTGTAAAAATAAAGAATTAATCCATCTGAATCAATGAACAGAACACTTAACGCCTGATTTTGACAGTCTTTGAACACCTACACTCTACATTCTGTATTCCAACGCTTTAGCATACCTCACATGTTTACTCAGTAATTTACAAATGGTTTTTACGCCACTAATTAAAAATATTTCCACTGTTTGGGACATCTTGTTTATAGATGCTTCATATTGTTTGGACATATTTCTCATTTTTGACAAACGCGAATTGAATAAAGAATGCCATACGATATTTGAGCATTAGTTAAACGATTGAGCTATTTTCATAATAACATCACAACGGGCCTTGGCTACCTGGTAGTTGACGTCTTCTTGTCGATTTATAAGAAGTTTTAACTCAGCAGCATCTCCATGAAAGCAGGCCTGTACTAAAGGTGGCTGTAAACGATACAAACCGCAAGTTAGACAAGCAGGAAAACAGTCGAATCCCGCCATGTTAAAACGACCAAATACGCATTTTAAAACTTCAAAATATGTCTTAAAAGAAGCATATATATCTCATTAAACTGAGAAAATTCAAGATGCTCAACGAAAGCAAAAATGCACAGTATACCTCGTCCACAAGCTGCTGGATAACCATTATTGCCGTTGTTCTGGAGGTCCTAGTTTGGGTTAACGCCAAGTTTATTGGGCGTCCTTGCACTGTCAGAAGTTCGCCATTTTAACCAAAAAGCACTAAATTATACGCCAGACATGATGTACATATGAAGCAAATGAAATTTTTTCAGCTAAATATAGACTTCTGGGGCTTCTTCCTTGGGATTTTCTCTAAGCTTGGCTGCACTTCAACCGACCTTCAAGCAGGCCGCCATCTTGACACGACTCAAAACTATTCATGATTGGTCAGAATAGTCATATGACCGTGTACACGAATGCAAAATCATACCCGCGAGCCACTCGCGAGATACGGGATAAATTCCGCTATATAGATCCACACCTACAATAATTATCATTTTTACATAATTTTTCAAAATAGCCATTTAATGATATGAAATAATTTATTCTTTGCTGATCAGTTACTTTTTCTTATTTTTTTTTTAATTTAAACATGAATATTTTTTCTAGTAAAAGCTTTTTGTCTGGTCATTGTGGTATTAACTTATAATTAGTCCGCTTCCGCCAAACTCAATATGCAAATTTAACATTCAATTTGTGTAGCTCAAAATATATTTTTGACTTGATTCATACATCAAAATATAAATAATTCATAATTTGAAGAAATCAAACTGAGCATGCCAAAAATTAAATGTCTATAGCCAAAAATTTTTATTTTTTCCCCATTTATTTGAATTAGTACAAATGTAACTATTGCAAATGTGTAATACATGTAGGTCCTAAATGATTAAAACATCTTTCACTTCAAGTACCTATTAAAAAATATTATATGGACCATATTCTATCTACAAGAGAGAAGATAAGATATGAAGTAGAGTCATATTTCACAATTATTGATTTCTTCCATAAATGTGTTTTTCTGCAAATATGAAATAAAGACAAACAAAAAATAAATCAAATGAATTATTTTACGCACACAATTTCATCATTTTGATAAAATTTTATTACCAAATTACACTGGATGAACTATAAAGCTAAATAATGATTTTATGTGAATGCTTAGAAGCTGTAAGGTGGGGCATGAAAGTATGCATAAAATATTAAATGATATTTCTAACAGTCTTCTTATCTTGTCATAGATTCACAACTAGTTGCATTTCCTACACTGTACAATGTAAGCACTGAATTTTGCCCTATTTTATCACGACATTACAATTTAAAACATTCTATTGTTCTGACGCTAAGGATTATGGTCGAAAGATGGGATCAGAGTGACTGCATATCATATAAAATGTACATGAGCATTCTTACATATATCAAAACATGATACATTGAAGTCCTACTTTTGGAGAGAATATAAATGGGTTTAAATTTCCACTGTTTCTGACCATCTTTTCCTGATGGAAATATACTGTGATGTCATAATGAAACAGGGTAGTTCTTTATTCTTCACTGGAAGAGATTACCAGTTCAAAAAATTGTACACATCGACAGATAAAACAAAAATCATTGAGTTAGGCTGACAAACTGTGAGGCTTCTTCTGCCTTCTCTGTAATAGTTCTTCTTAACAAAGTATAGATGTCTTTACAGCCTTTGACTGCTAAATTTAAAACCTTTTCCATGTTATCCATGTGAAGTCTTGAGTCCATTTGAAAGAGTACAATCTTTTCTGACTTGGGAAGGATTGCAAGACTAAGCTTTGGACCTCCAGAGCTTTCTTCCAGATAATTGATGTCCATAAGTGGGGTGTCGTTAACAAAGCTGACAGTTGAGGCACTAACATAATCCTTCATTGGGATACCAGCATCAATTAAGGCTAATGTAACAGCATTGATACATGCAGACTGGTTGCTTCCATCAGCTTGGAGTACCTGACAAACACATAATCATCACAGTAATTTGAGTAATATTAACCTGGTATGTATGAGCTCATCTACAAGCAATTCTGGATCCAAAAAACAACACAAAGCCAGCTTACACTGTACTATATTTACAAAAAAAAAATAAATTTGTAAACTTTCACTGTGCTGTGGATACCAACTTAATGCACACAGCTTCTGTAAAAAAAATCACTCTGTGATGAATAGTAGAAAAAAAGATCATAAACTTATCAACCACCAAATATATGTATAATTATAATTGTAAAAACTATACTGTAAAGCTGATCAGAGTACTCTGCAAACAGAGCCAGTTGGCTTCCCCAACGTAAAGTAAGAAGAAAAACTGTTTATGCAGACTCCTGATAATCATTTTGAAGCTTCTGGATGGAGCATTATTTAAGAGTTATATCTATCAAGTTCTCAACAAAGAATATTAACTCACTTGAACAAAAATATCTATCTGCGAACGTGGATACAGTTCAGTCAAAATTGCTGCTTCAAACGTCCTTCTAATGATCATTGAAAGCTCAGTCGATTTCCTATCTCCCCTTGGTTTTCTTTTCCTTTCTCCAGTACTAAAAGTTGCCATACCAAACTGGCAGTTCAATAGCACTTTGTCATGCAATGCTTTGGACTTATTGGTTGGCTCATGGGGACCGTACACGGTGGCTAGTGCTTTAGTATTTCCCATTTCTATGTAGGCTGACCCATCGGCCTTAGAAAATACACCAGCTTTACACACTATTTTACGTAGTTCGTGTGATCTTCGTCCATCTAATCGCAGTCCTTCGGGCGAGAGAATTTCTAAACCCGCCATTTTGCACGAGGAAAGCAATAAAAACGCCAGGCGTTACATTCGTTCCATTGGTCTCCCTGGTTCCGAGTTTACCATATTTACCTCTCCCTCCTTCGGGAATTTTGGGTAAAGTTTCTTTTTAACGAACTTTCCCAGTACTTCGTGCTTTTATAGAATACTGCACTAAATATTATGTCGATTTAATGATGCTATGAGTACGATATTTAAAGTGAACCACATCTTCAGATCTCTGATCAAGAGATGCTGCCGGTATTCTGCCGGTATCATAAAAAAAGAAAGTAGGGGTGGGGGGTGGGGGTACTCATGAAACACAAACAAACGAGACACTGAGCAGATGCAAAATTAAGAGATTCACGAAACCCTAGGATATCACGCAACCCAACGCCTGTATCTTTGCATTCTGTTATGTTTTACAAGGACTTAAAGTAAGTAATTTTTGATTCAGTCAATCTCGTCGATCCATTCTTACAGATTCCATGAACGAGGCTGGGTTCGAAGTCCACACAACGATGAGAAGTTTTTATAAGCCATAAATAACTTAAGCTTAATTCTTTTGAAGTTGATCCTATGTCACTATCAGAGATACTTTTGAGAAATACTATTTTCTCAACCTTTAAGTGTATATTTATGTATAAAGCTATTGTGGTAGTGGACTTAAAGACATCAAGTCCTGCCCGGCCAGATAAGAGATTTTGGCCATGGTCGTCATGCACACTACTCCGACTCTTATTGTCATTGTATTTTTCCTTTTTGCAGGTCTCATTTGTAAACTAGAAGTAAAAATTCAGGCCAGGTGTATCTTGATGTGAATCCTTTGAGGGTAATTAACCCACCATTATTTAATAATAATTTGAATTGGAAACTGATTATAAATGATCAACTTTTATTTCAGGCTTGCATTTCAAGTTGTGAACAGATATATCTGAGTGCTTTCTTTCTGTAATGTTAAGAGGTGCAGTAATTGACTTGTAAAGATGGTTTAAGATGCATTGTGGTCTAGCTTTTGTAGCTTGAACAAAAGATGTTTGTAACTAATCTAGACCACAATGCAATGCAAACTGCTATCTCAGAAAAGATCTTTGTATCCCCCCAAAAATGTACCTCCACTCTGATTCTTTGACAAAACGTTTTTACCAAAAAATGTGGTCTGCTCAGTTAAGACCGTTTAGAAGAATATGTATTTGCCCTTCTCCTGATCTAAACACCATCCTGCCTCTTGCTGGTGATAATTAACAAACATTCATCAAGCACATTAGCCATTTCTCAATTTTGCTATTCTTTCATCTGCATTAACTTTTTCTCAGTGGAGACTGCAGAGAGGGGGTCTATAAAGTGGGGTGAAGGTTGATTGAGAAGTTGGAAAGTGGGAGAGGGGGGGAGAGGGGGGACAGAGCTTTGACAGCCTTTGCACCTTTCTCCTCCCCCACTCTCCTTCCCTACTATTTGGAAAATTTAATGCCTTCCCCCATTTTGTAGTCCTATGCATTCTTTCTAAAATATAGTAATCCAACTTGGGGCCAATGTAGTCTAAGGGTCTGGACTATGTTCATATGTCTTGATATTGTTGAGCTGAATCAAAAAGTTTGAATTTAGCACATGAAAATACAACTAGTTTGAAAGTGTTGGTACTGTAGTGCTATGCAACACTGTACAGCAAAGCTTGACATGATTCATTTTCAATTAATAATATCGTGAATGCAATTGCAGGATTGGCATATGAATCAATACCATGCGGTACCTTTAGTCGAAGCAAATTGACTATTGATTTGGATGTGACGATAGCACAAAATATGAACTGGGCCCAGCTTGCCGTACAGTTATACTTTTTTTCTATATTGCACTTGAATTTGAGGCTTAAATGATACTGTGCATACTTGCATTTTACAGTTTCTTTTTGCCAACTTGCAAAGGCAAGTGTTAGAATCGCAGCAAGAGGAATGGCTACTGCTGTACAAAAGGAAAAAACTTTTCAGTATCAAGAAACTCTCCCAAGTCTACCTGTTCCCCCACTTGAACAAACATGCCGCAAGTACCTGGAATCAGGTATGGTTTTCATTCGATATTCATTTATAATAACTAGGCAAGGTGCCACTACGTAGCTTGGGTCATTTGATTTGAGCCAAATGGAGTCCTATAAAGGTCAATCCATGAGCTGAACTCTTTTAGTTTATTGCACAAAGTGACTAGAAAGGGATACTTAGTACATAGTCACTGAGCTTAAACTACATGGACATACTTGCTTTCAATCACTTGACTTTTGATGCAGAAGTTGATTTGGACTTGAGATTATGCAGCATTTTAATTTGAATTCCTCTTGATTCTGCCATTTGCTATCCAAATTTGTTTCAGTGAAACCTTTCCTTGCTGATGAAGAATATCTGCAAACTGACTTTCTTGTAAATGAGTTCAAGCAGGGAATAGGGAAAGATCTCCAAAAGATATTACTACAGAGAGGAAAAACTAAACGAAACTGGGTAGGAATAATACATGAATTATTATGGGACTTTAGTTAATTAACCCAGACTTCAGAAAGTAAACACAGTAATTATCAGAAATTAGCACTAATTGATTACTCTATTTTTAGAAGATTATTATATATTATTCAAATTATTATGGAGTGTTTAAACCCCAAAAAGGGACCTGTATTATGAGATGATGGGCGTGACAGTGCTGAAATTTCACCCCTAAGAGGGACCAATCAAAAACAGGTCATTTTGTTTTGGTTTCCTCAGATTTTATTTGTGTTTTTGCACAAATCAAACGCCATCGGATCGTATTGAGATCAATCATCTAATAATTAGCAGTTATGGTTGTTGTTGATCTTATAATGACGACTTAGGGATCGCCCTATACCCTAAAAGGGGCCACAAAACTCAGTTAGTTGGAATTCTCATCATTATCACCCTAGGCTGGACCAAACCACTGATTTCAAACCCTGAAAGGGACGGCAAGTCAATAACAACAGTCTCTTTGTAAACATTTATCAATGAAGAAGGTCTACCAATAGAAGACCAAAACTTCTGAATAAATTTTGGATTGTACATTTAATCCAGATACAAAGTATTTTGTTTCCAATTGTTACAGTTTAATGGTTTATTGATTTTTTTAATAGCTAAAGAAATGGTGGGAAGAAGAGGCATACTTAAGACCTCGCTATCCAATAGCACCACTTATTAACATAGGTGGACCAGTACTGGTACCATCAGATATTTGGCCAGTAGGGGAAGGATCTCAAGCCAAGAGAACAGCTCTGTTTGTGCATGAGATGCTAAAGATTTGGCAGCKTATCTACAAGTTAGTATGTAATTTTATGTTATGCAGGGAGATGTATGATAAGTTTTTGTTATATAATGAGACAATTCAGTGAAAAATGAGAGTGCTTTCAGTAAAACTATGAAACGCTAATTATTTTGTGCAAAATAGTGCTAGTTGAACAAAAGAAAACAAAATAGCGAGCACAAAATACATGTACATGTAGTATTACTAAAATGTTTCATGCTCTTACTGAAAGAACTCTATATAAATGTACATGCTTAGAAGTAAAATTATTTTTGATAAACACAGTTTAAAAAAATTGTCAGGTCGGCTGATTCACTTAGACAGTGACACTTACATGATGACATTGTCTGGTTTTCTAATTGACATAGATCTTAAAGTGTCTACCTGTCATATGAAAATATGTACAATGTCCAATTATAACACTTTGCTTTATGCTTAATTCTTTTGATATTGTCAGAGAAGAGTTGCCAGTTCAGAAGATTAAAAATAAAGATCCTTTATGTATGGATCAGCATACAAAGTTTTTTGCATTTTGCCGTGTTCCTGGAAAGGAAGTAGATGAACTCAAGCCTCACTTCCAGACTGGTAAAAGTCATTTAAGCATTGTATTGTTGATACACAAAACTAATAGTGAATCTCAGTGCTCTACTTGAATGCATTTATAGCAAGCAACGTATTAATCATCAGTATGTTGTGACTCCTCTATATAGTCTCACAACTGACTGACAGCTCAGCCAATCCTGGACAGTTGGTTCTTGTGTATCATCAGGAAGAGATGCAAGATACTGATTTTCAATCTTATTCTATTTCCAGCTCCCTTGCCTTCACCACGCCACATTGTTGTTCAGACAAGAGGCAGAATATTTCACTGCACTGTTTTAGATGAAAATTATGAGCCTTATACTGCACCAGAAATTGAACGGTAATATTGTATGGTTGTATGATATAAATGGTGTGTGCAATGGCCCCCTTTGACTTACAAAGATTTGCCCCCAGTCTCTCCCACTGTTTCAATACTCAATGACAAAATCCACCCCTCCCATCCCTAAAGTATTATTTGTGGGACCAACTCCAATCTCATGGTATGAAAAAAAAAACAGTACACCTTTAAAATTGAGTACTTTTAAAAACTTTCAGAGCTTGATCATACGTACCTTAAGACATCCATTATAAAACAGCTACCTTATTATTTTACAGGAATCTAATTCAAATTATTGAAATTGTCAACAATAAACCCTATGGGCCTGGGATTGGCAGCTTGACTGGTGATGACAGAAATACTTGGTATCAAGTATGTAATCTTAAATAAATTTAATTATTTTTTTCCTTTTGAAACCTATTCAGCTTGGTCAAGTACCGTAAGTACTGTTAGTGTATATTTTTAATCTTATTCCTTTTTTCAGCTTAGAGAAAGATTAATAAATCTTCATGGTAATAACAAGAAATATCTTACTGACATTGAGACTTCTCTCTTCAACTTGGTTCTGGATGAACGCGATGTGAAAACAGAGCATGAGGCTACTTTTCAATCATTATGTGGGGACTGTAAAAATCGTTGGTTTGACAAGGCTTTTTCACTTTTGTCTTTTCCATCTGGCCTGTTTGGAACGAATTGTGATGTAAGTACTTCAAAATATTGTTTTTGTTACGATGGTGACTAATTTATTTAGATTGCACTGCTCCAAGGCCACTACCGGCCTAACTTGAGTGGTGGTGTGCCCTAAACCCATATCCCTGACGTAAAATTTCCGATCGTTATACCCTAGCCCAGACTAAACCTAAAAATTGTACATCCTATTTTGCTACCTACCGAAAGCGCATCTTATGACCACGGAAGGCTGGATTATGGAAGGGTCAAGAGGATTTGAAATTCTGAATCTCGGAAGTGCGATTTCCAGCAATTGAGGGATTTCGAGAATTATTTTGTACATGCAGTGAGTCTGGAAATGATTACTTAACACTTCCAATAAAGGTAGTAGTATAGTTGAATTCTACTTCTTAAAAGTGGGAGAGTAGAGCTCAACTTTTTATATTTTCTGAGAAGCAAAGCTCTACCCTATAGAAAATGGGAGGAAAAAAATGTTAGTACCTCTCCCAGGCCCTCATCGTGCTCCGCGGTCCCTGGACTCAGTAGTACATTGTAAATCTAGTTTTTTCGATTCCTTTATCTCCTTGATTCTCATTGATTGTCCTTGACTTCAAAAAATATAAATAAATCAATAATTAAGTAACAAACCAAAAACTCAACAAAACTACTGTTTACCAGTCCTACACGGACGATCTGGGCGATGAAAAGGCRGTACATCAGACATCCAGGATCAGTCTAGATCATTATAGGCTAGTGGTGATTTTATAAAGTCATTAATATTTTATTGGCTGATCTCTTTCTTTAGCATTGTCCTTTTGAGGGAGTGATAGATATCGAGATTACTAAAATGGCAGTAGATGGTGTAATATCAAAAAATGGAGAATGGAAGGTTTGTGGAGATTTACTGTAAAAAACTGTCTAGTGTAGTGAAAACAAAAGAAACTGATCAGATTCAAAAAATCAGTATCTGAGATACAACCTCCTTGGCAGACGTCAGTAGTGAAGGTGAGGTGGAGATAAAATACTAATAACGTCTGCATAGGAGGCTACTGAAATTGATTGTTTCAAGGTAGTCTTTTAAGACTTTAAAAAGTGTTTATTATTGCAGTTTTGATAGCATTAGAAATGATAATAACATAATGTATTATATATAGAGGATATAACATTTCCGCGCAGAGATACGGATTTTATCTTTGAGTATTGAAAAGATTTCTCACGAGTTAGCGGATGCGAATATTTTGGACCATAACAAAATACAATAAGGAACAAAAACTAAACTATGTTTCATTTTTTTAGGGAAGAACAAATATTAGTWAAACTGAAAAGCCATATGAACTGGATTTCGTTGTAGACAGTGAGATAACCAAAGGAGTTGAACAGGCCATTGCGAAATACGAAAAATCGGTGAGTTATAATTTCAGTGCTCTGTTTTGGTTTGACAGGTTTTAGAAAAAACTGAAACACAACAACTTTTCTCGTCTTTGGCTCGTTTTACATGTCGAAAGTTAAATTTGGTGATTGAAACTGGTTTTAACAAAGACAAAAGTATTTAAGATAAAAACTCTCCTTTTTGCACTGTATTTGACAAGAATAGACTAAGTATTTCACTGCTTTTCTTTGTAGATAAGTAACATTGCTTTTCGCAAGTGTTCTTTCGAGGAATATGGCAAACAGATTCCAAAAAGTTATAAAGTACACCCAGATGCATTTTGCCAAGTGGTTATTCAACTGGCATATTATCGAATTCATAAAAAGTAAGTGCGAAAAATCGGGAAATAGTGTATCACACCTAATGTGCCGCCATTTTGTGTAGCAAAGTCTGAAGCAAAGGATGATGGTTATAGTGTCCTCGTACTTTTTTATGTCTCCTATAACAGTCCTACTAACCAGTCTTTGCTTTTTCTAAGCGAAAATAGAAGTACTTGTGCCGTTTCTTGGCCTGATTTTCAGACGGGGCCTGGGTCCTACGCTTCTCGGGGCGGAGAGAAGCGTAGGACCCAGGCCCCGTCTGAAAATCAGGCTAGCAGTTTCTAAAATCAAAATATAAAAACGGCTTTTAAGGAGATATTTCAGTGGCTGTGAAAAGTATGAGGATCATGCTTTGCTGCACAAAATGGCGTCGCTGCACATTGCCTATTATCAAGACATGTACGCAGTTAATTAAAGCATGCACAAGTTCTCAATTCGAATGTACGCCATCTTCATTCTGGCTCCCTGCTTACCTCGGCCAAAAAATATCGCAAGTTACTGAGGACAATTACACAGTGTAACAGAGCTCTAATTTCCTTGGCAACTCGTTTCGCAACTTGACTGGGTTGCATAGTAACAGTAACTCAAGGTATATTAATATATTTTCTACATCACGGGTTTTTCATACTTTACTCTGAAGTTTTTCGCGGGTTTAGTTTTCCGCTGTACATTAGCTACAGTATGCTATGTCAATAAAGACGAGAATTGTAGCATACACTCATTTCAAAAACGTTGTCGGGGAGAACGGCGAACGGCAATTGTGTGGCCGAAAGGGACTATGGTAACGCCTTATTTTACATGAAAAACATTCACTTTTACTAATGGGATCCTGTTTCCCACCAATTAGCAATACCCATTGCTCCTTTCGGTCGTGCAATCTCCGTTCGACAATTGCCATTCGCACTTTATTCGACAACCTTTTTTTGGAATAGGTACATGTATATTCTATTTCTCCGCTGAAAAGTGAAGAATCTTTCACAGGAAATGGATACAAAATTCAAATGAAATT